CGTCCCCGCCGCCCCCGCCGCGCCGCCGCCGCGAGCGCCCGTCCGAGATGAAGAAGGCGTCCATGGAGTAGCTGTCGGTCACGGCCGCCTCGCCGCGGAAGTAGCGCGCCGACAGGCTGGACTGCGGGCTCTCGGGGTCGCTGTACTCCTCCGGCGCCGCCGGCGGGTACGCGGGCTCGGCCGGCGCCAGCTCCAGGCCCGGCTTCTGGTCCGCATCGTAGCTGCTGGGGGGCAGGCAGTGCGGGGCATAACCTGGAGGGGCGAGAGGGGAGCGGGGAGGAAGGTGAGGCGCCGGGTCACTCCCCGCGCCCTCCAGCTCGGCGTCCCCGTGGCCGGCTCTTCGAGGATGATGGCTGTTGGTAAGACTTCCGTCGCTGTCACGCACCTCTGCTCTTGGCGTCAGGCTGCTTGGGTCAGATCCTTCCTCCGTGGACCACAATGAAAATACCCCCACCCCATCCTCGTGGAGCACGGCGCCCTGCATGGTTCTACTGGCTTTGTGTTCTCTGTCATCTCACAACCGCTCAGTGAGGGTCTTATTATTGCACCCACTTTACAGATAGAGAAACCGAGGCATGTAGTCTAAGGTCGCAGCTTGTAAGCGGTGGAGCCGGATTCGGGCCTTTGCAGGCTGACGCCGAAGCCCATGCTCTCTTTATTCCAGCAATATCCTGCCGTTCCAGTTCTATAACTTCTGTGAACCTCGGTTTCCTCATCCACAAAATGGAGCTTGTAATAGGACACTCCTTCCCAGGATCTTTGGAAGGAGTGAGTAAAGTGATAAAAATGAACCATGTATTAAGCGCTTACTGTGTGCCAGGCCCTGCCTCGATGCTTTACGCATGTTAACTCATTTAACCATCACGTAATAGTACAACGTAGGTACTATTATAATCCCCATTTTACATGTAAGGAAATGGAGAAAGAGAGAGAGGGAGCACGCGGTAATTGCTATATAAATGTTAGCTATTATAATTATGCTTTTTACTTGCTTGAAAAAGTGACTTCACTGAAGATTGTTTAATTGTCTGCCTCCTCCACCAGACTGTGAGCTTCCCAGGGCTGGCACTGTGTGCCCAGCATGTGCCTGGCTCAGAAGAGGTGTGCAATGAATAGATGTTGCATAAACGAATCACAGTCCTCTTAGACCCACCTCCCAGAGTTGCTGGAGGATTTAAGAGGTCAAGTGTGTGGCGTGTAATAGGTGCTCCAGGAAAGGGACTTCCTTTCACTTGCCCCCAAGCCTGCTTTGCTCCCTGCTCCACTAGCAGCCTTCTGGAGTCCCCTGTGAGAATTCACCTCTCCCTCCTCCTCCCTCCTCTCTAGAGTTGGACCAGAAATCCTGTCCATCTTGGGTTTGAGTGATTGGTGGGTGGGCTGGCTGGGGCTCTCCCAGGGCATTCCACAAGGGCCTCCCAGAGGCAGGGGCGACCGGGATTTGTCTGTGTTTCCCAGGGCCTAGCATGGTCCTAGCACCCTTCCTGAGGACCCTGGAGCCTGGGCTCCCTGGAGTTTCTGACAGACATGCACAAAGGTATCAACCTGGCACTAAATTACCAAGTGTTTCCATTGTCCTTTGATTCCGGAGAATAATGGAGGTTAGGCCCCTTTGCGCGGTTTCACAGCTGGGGAGTGGCACAGTGGGGGATTGGATCCTCTCCTTCTGACCTCTGAGATCTGTCATATTGTCCCCCCTGCCCCCCCACAGCCTTCCTCACTCAAGTGAACAGGTGGAAGAGGGCTTTGTAAGCGGGGAGCCGGATTCGGAGCCTGCCTTCCCTCAAACAGCCTGCCTGATTCAGCCTCCATGCCTTTGCCCCTCAGCTGGCATTTGGGATGGTCACAGGGTGAAGTCTGTGCAGACTGTCCCCAAACCCTGAAGGCCAGGGTGTGCCCTTATTTTTTCCTCTGTCCCTTCAGCTGCCCACACGGGGCCCTCTGCACACAGAGTGATGGGGATTGTGGCTGTAGATGACTCAGTAGGGAGCGGCTCTGTGGTCAGATGCAGAGGGCAGTGGTGGTGGCAGTTTTGTAATGGGTGGGGGGCTTGCCCAGCCTCTCAGCACCCCACTCCTCCCCTCCTGTCTGCCTTTGGTCTGGGGGTTCCCCCACCTCCCCCTCCAGGAATCAGTCCTGGTACTCAGCCCCAAAACGTTCAGGGGGTATTGTTTCAGACTGAGTTAAATACGTGTTGGGTACTCCCAGACACCCTCTTTCTCCTTCTCTATTTCTTCCCATTATAATTACTGATGATAATGATAATAATAGCTAATAATTATTTAGCACTTACTGTGTACCAGGCTCTGTGCTAAGCTTCTCTCCCATTGCCTCATTGGATCATCATAAAAATACTTGTATTACAGATGAGGAGACTGAGGTGCAGAATGGTGGTGGGAATTGCTCAAGGGGTGGAGCGAGGATTGGAACCCACTGCACTTCCCCTCTCATTTTCCACACACTGGGGGTCCCTGAGGAAGGGGCTGTGGCTGGGCTGTTCACCTCCTGTCCCCCGTGCCCCAGCTCGTGGACACTCTATAAGTATTTGTCACATGGGTGATAAAGATGTGGCAGGCCAGCCTCACTCCCCAGCCCAGCAGGGTCTGCTACAGGCCGTTCTGTGTACCTGGTCTTGAGGCAGCTTGATTCCCCGACACAGATTGTAGCTGGTGACCTTGAGCAAGTCATGCATCTCTCTGCATCTCAGGTCCTATCTGATATGAGGATAGTATAGAATCCATTTGGAGGGGTCACCGATCATGTGACCAGGGCCTGGCATGTTCTGTCATGAGAAGGATGGCATATTGTTTAAGAACACAACTCGTGTGCCACACTGCCTGGATTGAGTTCCAGCTTTATTATTCCCAGCTGTGTGATCTTGGACAAACTACTTGACCTCTCTGGGCTTCTGTTTCCCCAGCTGTAAAATGGGGAATAATAAACGCACTTAACTCATACAGTTGCAGGAAGGAGTCCATGAATAAACAAACATAAGTGGACAGTGACCAAATAATAACGAACACTCCTGGAGCGCTTATGTGTCAGACACAGTTAAAGGCTTTACGCACTTGAGTACATTCCAGCCTCAGGACTCTAAGGTTGGTGCCGTCTTACAGACGAGGAAACCGAGGCACAAGGTGGTTAAGTAACATGCCCAGGGAGCACAGCTAGTAATTCAGAGCCAGGATTCCACATTGTAGCCTGGCACATTGTAAACCCACCATACATGCTGGCTGTTACTATTACTAATGATAACAATCTCCCCAGGTGGGCTTCCGTGCTACAGTTTTGTTGGCACCTGTTGCGGCTCCTCCTTGGGCCTCTGTTTCCTCCCCGGGATGTGTACGTTCTGTCTCCTGTGCTGGTGAGGAAGTAGTGGGAGCCAGATGAACCAGGCAGTCCTCACCCAACTGGGCCCTCTGCCCCTAGCGCCCTCTGGTGGCGGCTTGCAGCACTGCAGAACCTTACTCCTGTCCCTGGGGGGGCTCTTGATATAGAAATAGGGGTACCTCAGACAAAGGCTGCTCATCTGTCTACAGGGGGATGCAGAATTGCATTTGGGACAGGAATTGTGGGGCCAGACCTGATGTGGCTGTGGAGTTTGGCATGGGTTGCCGGGGGCGGCTCATATGAGAGTTAGTGTGGTCATGCTAGGAGGAGGTGATTCTAACTTGCTTTGTGACATTGGCCGGTTGCTTAACCTCTTTGGACTCGGTCTGTACAGGGAGAAGCGTGACTGGGTGCTCTAGAGACCCTTCCTGCGTTGTGGCTGGATAGATCCCTCAGTCATGCCCCTTGTGCTGTCCCCGCCCCACAGCCCCCATCAGCAACACCTCGTTCTTCGCAGATCCACGACCTCTCCCTAGCTCTGTGACCTTGGGCAAGTTACTTAACCTTTTTGTGCCACGTTTATATAAGGGAGCTCATAACAGGCTTGAATGAATTGACGCCTGTAAAGTGTACAACTCCTGGCACACCATTGCCTCTCAAGCTGTTATTATTCTTGCCGTTACTATTATCCCTGCATTTCCTGCTGATATCCTTCTAATCCACCAGAGAGTGACATGCATGGTGTCTCAGGGTGCTGTGTGACCTTGGGCAAACCACCTCACCTCTCTGGGCCTCAACCCTGGAGAATCCTGTAGGGCACTATAGGGCATGCTCTTCTAACTTTGTGCATCAAACCCAGATGGGCTTGGGGTGCCTTCCTCTGCCCCACAAGTGACTATAGAAGGCTGAGCTGCCTGTCCCCTAGTGGACAGGGTGAGACAGGGCTCTCCTGCTTGGGTCTGGATAGAGGCAGAGAGGGACCCAGGGAGAAGAGACCTGGCTCTCCTCCTGGCCCTTTTACTCATACCCTAGCTGTGCGACCTTGGGCAAGTCATGCAGCCTCTCTGGGCTCAAATCTTCCATTTGAGGGATAGGGACTAGAGCCACCCCTGCCACACGAGGCTATGGGGAAGGCTCAGAAACAGTTTGGAGATGTGGAGATGTCATGCACATGTCACCAGAGAGTGACTTGGTTTTCCCTGCCCAAGAGTCTTGATATTTTAGATTGAAGGTGCAGAATCCATTAAAAAAATCCTGCACCCAAAGAAGTGGTGGGAAGGGACTGTTATGAGAATGAAGGCACTGGGCCCTCTGCAGACACGGTCTCATCCAACTGACCCCTTGGGGTGAAGCGGGGTGTCTCCGACAAGTCCTGATACTGCTTCCATCCACCACCGAGCCCTCCCTGTGTGCCAGGCGCTGCACCGATGACGGGAGAGGATTTGCCAAGGTCACTGAAGGGCGAGTTAGGCTTGAAACCCTCCAAAGCCTGTGTTTTTTCCAAAACACCTGGGCGGGCATGGAGACATGCTGGAGGAGGGAAGATTTTCAATTGGTGGGGGAGAGAGATGGTGGGTTTCTTCAAATACACCCCCTAGTTGGCCTGTGTCTGATGGTATGGAGTGTTGGAGGTGGGGAGAAGCTGTTGTTCTATTTGTAAATAACACTAATTAATAAAAGTAATGACCAACACTTATTGAGCACTTACTGTGTACAAGGCACCCTGCTCAGTGCTTTATGCGTATTAGCTTGTGTCTAAGGGAACACAATGGTCACTTCCTCCTGTGCCCTAGTTCTGTGGAGGCCTAGAGAGGGGCCTTGACCCAGCTCAGGTCACAAAGCAAGTTCTCATCAGAGCTAGGCTGGCCTCCTGCCTCCCGCCTCCCAGTCCAGGGTTCTTTTTCCCAGCCTCTCCGAGATTCCCA